ACAGGACAGAAGCAAAGGTAGAGGGTCGTGGGGCTCTGGAGTTCAGTGTTGATCTGCATGCCCACTGCCCATTGGAGTTGGGGAGTGGGGAGGGGCCCCACAGGGAGGGTTTCCCTGCAGAGGCTGTTTGTGCCCTGTATCTCTGTGCCTCCCTCGTAAGGGTGGAGGGTCAGCACCCTTACATGGTTTCTGTCCCCTCTGCAGGTCACTAGCAGCCCTCGAGAGAGACCCAGCCACCGTCCAACCCCCGAGTTAAAGATAAAGACCAAGAGTTACAGGAGGGAGTCCATTCTCAACTCCAGCCCCAACACTGGCCCCAAGCGGACGCCTGAGCAGCCTGGGAGCTCAGAGGGCCAGAGCGTCTTTCCCTGCAGAGAGTGTGAGAGGTACCGGCCCCTGCCCCAGATGCGCTCAGACTGCGACCCTCCAGGCAACCACCTCCCCCTGCTCTGACCCGTGTCCTCTGCTCACTCCTCAGGGTGTTCGACAAGATCAAAAGTAGAAATGCCCACATGAAGCGACACCGGCTTCAGGACCACGTGGAACCCATTGTCAGGGTGAAGTGGCCAGTGAAGCCCTTCCATCTGAAGGAGGAGGAAGAGGAAGAGGAGGAGATAGGGGCTGACATCGGCCCCCTGCAGTGGTGATTCCTGGCAGATGGCTAGTCGGGGCGAGGCGGCAGTCGGGAGGGGGACCTCCAGTCCTGTCACGTCTCCCTTAGGCCTCACCAAAACTTTTGGGGCACCCCTCTACCTCCCCCACACCCTCCCCGTGGGCCAGCCCAGCTTGCAGACACAGTGGGCATTTGACCATAAGTAGGCAGGAGGAGCACGGTCATCGGACAGCTGCGAAGTCCCTGTCGGCTGCTGCCAGAGGCTCCCGTCTCTGCAGGGTAGTAGTCTCTCCCCTTCTTTCAGTTCCACTCCGGGAGCGGGGAGGTGGGGAAGGGAACAGCTTAGATCTGGATAGCTCTCAAATGTCAGCCTCGGTGTGGGGGTTTGATTCCATGGTTAGGTAAGGCCAAGATGTAGAGAATCAGTGGGAAAATGCCTTCAGATGGCCACCATGTTGGGGCCCCCTACCAGGGGTCTCTCTGCATTCCAGATTCAGTCCCTAGTCTTGCAATGACTTGTACATTGTTAGGTTTTTTTTGTACGTGTCGACTTGTAAATCTTATTAAATTGGGTTCTTGAGCAGCCGTCCTCTGGCTTCCCTGGCCGTTTGATCCAAGAGGCTTTCGAGTCGCTGCCACTTGCTGGAGCCACAGAGATGAGTAAGCTGAGCCCCTGCCCTGGAGGAGCTGGGGCCTTGGACATTCATTCAGCAGTCACGTGCCCTAGTGCATGCCCGACAGTGCCCAAACCATGTGACGGGGACGCAGTGACACAGGAGGGACAAGGTTCCTCTCCCCATGCAGCTTACATTTCAGGAGCGGGAAGGTAGCAGAAATAAAATAAGCAAAAAGGAGATTTGAGGTATTGATCACAGCTGTGCTTTTGGCCACAGTGACAGAATTGTCAGCATAGGTTTAAGCAGTCAGGCCGTGTGTGGTTACAGTGGCTCAGCTGTGAAATCGAGCCCCAGGAGCATGTTGGCTGCAGCAGCACAAAGAATCTCTTCCCACACAGGGAGGAGAGCATGTCCCTCCCTTCTTTGTGTCGCTCTTCAAGAGTGAGGAGAAAGCTTGTAGCAGTCCCCACCGGAACACCCCTCCTGTCTCATCAGCCAGAACCATAGTCCATGCTTGTTTCTAAGCTGATCGCTGGGAATCACTAGGAAGGGAAATGGCCACAGTTACCCTGGACACTCAGGATTCGTCTGCAGGACTGGAGAAAACCAGTGCGTCCCAGTAGCTGCTGGAATTCTCTTTGCCAGGAAAAGAAGAGGAAGCAGAAATAACTACTGGCTAGACAGACCACCACAAAGTGACATGAAGAAAATAAGTCAGGGGGCCAAGTCCTAGAGAGTGACAGGGCGTGGCAGTCGGTGTTGGGTGGATGGCCAGGAAGGCCCCACTGAGGAGGCTGCTGAGGCTGAGGACTACATTCCAGGCTGTGGCATGGCAAAGTGCAGACTCTGCTGCGGGAAATGAGTGGAGGGTGTCAAAAAACCTCCCTGGCTGCTGTGTGGAGGTTGTGGAAGCCTGTAGAGCAGGTAGAAGGCCCTAAGGCAAGTGATGGTGGCCTTGGCCAGGGTTAGGGATGCATCTTAGGAGGAACTCAGACTTGATGGGTTGCACATCTCAGGCAGAGGTGGTAAGGAAGGAACAGATCAAGGCGGTGTGGGAGGTTTGGGCTTGAGCAACTGAGTGGATGTCATTAACTCAGATGGGGAAGAGGGATAGATCAGAGGATTGATTGGATCGAACATGATTTTGTGTTTAAGAGCACGTGCTGTGTGCTGAGGGACTGGTGGGGAGAGCGAGGTAGAGGATAGTATCACAGAGGCCACATTTGAGCTAAGTAAATGTTGGAGATGAGGAGGGAGGAGGGGCAGAGGT